ACAGCAAAGTCGCCTCGAACACTACTCATGTCGCAGCTCGCAATGTATCTTCTATAGATTTCTATAGTCTATAGACACCGGAGGGACCCTTCTTTTCACTGACTCTTCTGCAGGTCCAGGATTGTGTCGGTAGCTTGCTCCTCAGCTGTCGCTGCTGCACTGTCGCCCTGCCAGGCACGCGTCAAATCCCCAGGCCCAAGTGCCACGCTCCTCACCCTCAAATTGCGACTCTTTCGCTCTCCCGTCCTGCTGCTCGACAATCTCCACCATGCTGAACTGCTTGGCGGCAGTCGGGGACAACTGCCAGCCAACGTCTCTGCCAAAAGTCCCCGGTCAGCTACAGTTGCATGCTGCGCTGGTGGAACCCAGAGACTCCAATATCCCCTAAGTAAGGAATATACCTTAAATCATATTTTAGGGATCCTACTATAATTTAAGGCACATCCCTTAATTAAGGGATATTGGAGTCTCTGGGAAGCATGCCGAAATTGAAATCGGATCTGGAAGGCCGAGGTACGGGTCCATCGTCGATTTCCAGCACCTGCGGCAAAAAATCTCTCAGCAGATCAGTCCGCGTGGAATGATTGCAGTTTTTAGGACTGGAAGTCCCTGATCTATGGTTGGAGGGTTTAGGGCTTTAGGGTTGCTCCCAAAGGCCTGAACTCTGAAGCCTTCTTGGTGGTGACGGTGGCTGCTATCAGAAACCTCTGAACCCTAATCCCTAAACCAAAGCCTAAACCCTAAACCCTAAACCCTAAAACCCTAAAGCCACTAAACCTTTTTTTTGTTGCATCCAGCCTGCAAGAGCATCCCAAATGAGGGCTTAGAGCAGACTCGAGTCTGCCATGCCACTCATCGGGCTGCCCTAAACCCTAAAACCGGAAACCAAAGCCGAGACGAAAATCCCATGACCCTGAGACCTGCGCAGCGCGGGGCGGCTCTGGTGGGCCCTGTCGACCGCTCCGAAAGCCACGCAGCCGCTCCTGCAGAAAAAAAAGCTTTTAGGGTTTTAGGGTTTAGGGCTTCTAGGGAATAAAGGCTTCCAAAGAGAAAGCTGCTAGTTCTCGTATTGATCAGGTAATGAGACACCTTAGCGTTGTTGTTGCCGTTGATGATTTTGACAACAGCTGTCTCAGGCCTCTCGCGAAGAGTAAGACTAGCAATCGGAGTAATCACCGTCAGAATGCAAGCTTGACTGCCGAGGATTTGCAATTCGGAGGCAGAAAGGTAGGCGGCAGAGAAACATTCCGACGCGAGGTTCTAACATGTTCTAAGTTGGCCTTGACAGGCTGCAAATAGGTCCGTCTAGCATCCACTAAAGTTCAAGAATACGAATAGCAATGCTACCATAGTAACACTAGACCTGTCTGTGCGAGGTCCTTCGGGGCACGCGAATCACATCAGGGGACCGTCTCGTGCACCCACTGGGTTTTGAACCAACTTCATCAAATCCACCACCACAACACCACAGGTAACCCATATCCAAGGTATCATGAGCCTCGTCATGCTCAATCTCACCATCACCACCGTCAGCATCCATGTAATGTAACTCAGGCCAATCAAAGAACGATGACAATTGAAGCCATTCGAGTCCCCTCCGACGCGACCCCAAGAGCCAGGGACTCCCAACATCTTGAGGACCCTTCGCCAGAACCAGCAGCTGTCCAGGTATGCAGCGTCTTCCTGAGCGCGAACAGGGCAGGAGGGCCCGAGGGCTCTGATGCTGGGAGGGACTTACAGCTCGGAAAAGGCCAAGGCGGTTCAAGGCCAAGGCTGGCTGTGCCTCAAGATGCCATACAGCTGGGGTAGCAAGTTGGGTCCACGGAAAGGATTTATTCAGCAAGGATGGGCATGAGAATCCCAGAAAAAGTACCCAGCGCCAGAAAAGCTGAAGTTGATTGAACACATGGACTCAAGGCCTCAAGCACCAACACTCTCAGGCAAGCTTCTCGTGCTTCTTTGGCAAGAAGACGGCGTGGGTTGTTGCTCGCTTCTGGCAGAACGGGGCAGAATGGCGAGGCTACCATGCAAGGATCCCTCGCTAAATGCAGTCGTCCCCTTGAGAATAAGGCCGATGGTCTGCTCCAAACCGACTTACCACAACCAACAGTAGCCTAAGGCCTGCCAGCTGGTGGGCTGCATCATACCAAACTGAAGTCGCATCTTTGCCCTCGGATCGCAGCAGACACAGGGCTTCATGAAGGGCTTGCCATAGAACCGCTGAAAGTCTAATAGTGAGCACGAAGCCGAAGAACGACTTCTCAAATCCAAAGGCAGGACAGGGCATGTTGCCTCTCCTTACTATGGTCGTGCGCTTTTCCCTGAATTGGGAGATCAAGCCACCCAGTCGTCACGATTGCGCCACCCGCAGCTGTAAATCCATCTTGCCGGCCCCTTTGCTCAGCAAGTGTGCGGAGTTTGAAGCACGGTATGCACCAAGTCTGAATACAACACAAGACTGTAGACGGAGATCACTGGGGCCAATGCGCAGCCGTTCTCTGCGCCAACCTCGGCCAAGGTCCCCTCAAAGTCTTTCACATCTCGTCGCGAACGTATACCATCCCAAACAGCGATACCTGTGGGAAGGACCCCATTCGCCCAACCCGGTGGCGGCCACCACTTGCCATTCTTGTCCACAAGGGCGCCTGCCACAGCTTCTCGCATGCATTTAACTGGGCGTCACGGTGCAAACAAGTCCGGAGGGCGCGGAGGCCAGGTGACACCCCTTGGCCAGTTTGGCGGGGGTTCGGGTCGATTCGGGTTGTTGACCTGCCAGGCACAACAAAGCAGAATACAATCAGCTACCACACTTTTGCACTAGTTGGTTTTGCTCCGGGCCAGGCCTCGCTGTAGAGAGCGTTCCTGGCAGTCGGGTGCCACCTTTGAGCCGCAGGAGGGCAAGCGCAGCAAGGAGTGGCTGTGAAGAGGCCGTGACGCATGGATTCCCGACGGGCGAGGCGGAAATGGCCCCGACACCCCTGGCGAGTGCGCACCCGCGACCCGAGCCTCGAACAGAGGCTTCGCATCGACTCAAACGCGGTGGCAGAGTCTTTTTCATGTGGAGCCTCTCCCGCATCTTCAGGTGCAGCGTGATTGTGGCCTCGAGTCCAGATCTCCACATACAGGGCTGATAGGACCAAGGTGACTGGACTAAGGTCTCCGCCGAAGACCTTGTCGAGGCCGCTTGGCAGCGGGAAGTGGACCCAATCCTGAGCGTCTGCAAACGCCGAGCTCCCGGCCTTTCTTGGCTCCCAGGAGGCTTCGCGAAACGCGAAGCTGAGGCGATGTCCAGGATGGTCTGCAGGGCAGCACAGGGCACAGCAACTCTCATGCTATGTCGTCTCTTATGAGCATCCTGCTGTTGCGTAGAGCAAACCAGCCTGTTTTGATCATGCCCCTCTAAGGCTTCGCGGTGGAAAGTCACTCTTGCAGACAAGTCCGGATCTCCTCTTGAGGGACTGATAGGGTCTTAAGTCTAGGGTTATCTGCATCCCTGGTTCCCGACCTGCTTCACTGCTCCACCCAGTCCTTGGTGCACAGACACAGCTGCACACTGAACCCTCAACCCAGCTCCAACACCGAGAAAAGTCCAAGCTGCTCATATACTGACAACTGACTTGTCGCTGAGGTTCACTACGTGCTTGTTGGACTTTGAGAATTCATGATGACACAACCTTAGGCAGCCAGGTTTCGCTGCAGCCACGCGGAGAAGTCCTGCAGACAGCGTGACTCTCAGCTCCAGGATGCTAGCTGCAGCGCGAGATATGAAACAAAAAGGCGCTCAACGAAGAGGACTGCTACGATATGCTTTGTTATGTATGTCTTCGAGAGCGTGGAAGGTCAAGAAGACACCCTCCTGAACAGGATCTGCATCGCTGACATCAAAGGGGCCTCAGTGTCAACGACAAAAGATGCCAACATGTTAATATTATGTTATTAATATATGTTTGTAGTTGTTATTGTTAAGTTGTTATGAGTACTATTTTAGTTACTATAGTTATTACTACTATCATCATTGTTACTATTACCATTACTGTAGCGCTTCACAGCAATGTGGAACTCGGGAACGACACCGCCCGCCATTTTCCCTCTCCAGCTCAGACGCCCACTGCCCACAGTGGATCTCAGCTCGGCGCCCTCAATTCAGGCAGCCATTGCTGTGATGTAATAGGCAGGCGTATGAGGCATGCATGTTATCACATCTTACCCCTAGAATCGCAGATGTAGGCTGCCAAGTGGCGGAACTGGCGACAAAGAAACTGGAATCAAGAGCAGCCTTCAGCGCTCCAGCCGGCATGGGAAAGTGCCACGGCAGGCAGGCAGGCAGGCAGGCAGGCAAGTATTGGTGGAATCTGTAACCTACAAGCCTCGTAGTGTCATTTCGTAGGTAAGCTGAGGCTCCAAAGCACTCGGTTTCGACGGTCGTGCAACTCAAAAGCACACCACGTATAGTGGATGAAGTGTCTGCATGCCTATCAGACTAAATGCTCGAGCCGAGTCTGACTCGAGTCTGCCCGCGGCTAGCTGGAGGTTGTGGTGCTGTGTCACCGGTCAGCCTGACTTTTGTCACAGCTGAAATCAGAATAACTAATATACTATAATATGCTATAATATACTATAATATACTTTAATATACTATAATAGACTATATAATATACTATAGTATACTATAATAGTCACGGTAATGGAATCGTTCGAGCGCCTCTTTTCACTACAACGGCGCAGTGGCTGCGTCATCTTCGCATTCCCCAATCTCCAGCTCCACCAAGCCACTAACCTCACCAAGGCAAGACTCCGATTGCATTGGAGCCGACTACATCTACGAGAAAGGAATATACTATAATAAAACATAATATACTATAATATACTATAATATAACATAGTATACTATGATATACTATAGTATAATACAATATAATATATTATAATATATTATAATATACTATGATAGCCACGGTAAACGACTCTGTCGCTATTCAGTGCGACCAGGAAATCACGGGCGAGACTGCCTGGGCCATCTCCACTCGGGTGGAAGAGCTGCGTACGCACATCCGGCGGAACCGACTGCAAGGGTAGTTCTGTAAATCAGGGGTCCCTTTTTAGGTCCCCAATATAGTACGGCACCCTTATAAAAAGGACCCCAAAGGGACCCCAGTTTAGGAAACTACCCACAAGAAGAACACGGAATACTCCAAAGCGCCAGGCAACGTACCCCTCCATGGCAGCATCCACCTCCTCAATAGCCGCCTCCACGGCGGCCATGGCGATGCTGTCGGCAAGAAATGGCCAAATCACCTAGAAGGCGTGTAGGAGTTCGAGACTTTCTCGACTACGACTCCTGCGTCCTGTAGATCCTAAACCCCATGAAACCTAAACCCTAAACCCTAAACCCCTAAACTAAGCCCCACGAAACCTAAACATCAGAATCTCGCGAGGAGCTTTAGTGACTGTGATCTGAGGGTCAGGCCCAGGTGGCCGTCCGAGCCCCAGGACCACTTTGGATCCCTGCCTGACAGCAGAGCGACCCCTTCATTCAAGGATCCTAAATAGTCTTCTTTTAGGGTTTAGGTTTAGGGTTTAGGGTTTAGGGTTTAGGGTTTAGGGGTTTAGGGTTTAGGGTTTTGGGGTTTAGGGTTTAGGGTTTAGGGTTCTACGTATCTACAGAGACATATCACTATGACACATCTCTCTCGGATATCATATGTAGGATACCTTGGATAACTACCGATGACTTCTGCATCTGTGCATCTGCCTAAGAATCCAATCCTAGTCGTCCCCAAACCCTAAACTCATGTGGGTAGTTCTCGAAATTATGGGTCCCTCTTTGTGGTCCCCTTTTATAAGGGTGCCGTACTATATTACGGACCCTAAAAGGGACCCTAATTTGGAAACTGCCCCTATGTGTCATTTCTCGTCTCAGTACTCGCACCTCCCGGGCTGCCAGGCAGTGCCTGGCAAAGCGAGCACCTCGGCTCACGGCAGAAACCGGTCATTCCCAGAGACCCCAATATCCCTTAATTAAGGAATATACCTTAAACTATAATAGGATCCCTAATAAGATCTAAGGTATATCCCTTAATTAAGGAATATACCTTAAATTATAATAGGATCCCTCATATGATCTAGGGTATATCCCTTAATTAAGGGATATTGGAGTCTCTGGGCATGAGATCTCACAGGCATCGGTCTTCTCTGAACGCTTGTCAATATGACGACCGTCTGTTGCTCTGTTCTAGTATGAGGATATGATAGTATATTATAGTAGATTATAATATATTATAGTATAATATAGTATATTTTGGCTCCGCTGGCTTCAGGCTGCAACAGAGCACATCGGATAGTCGAGTTGCGGTAGCGTTCCAGCTCGTGGATTCGTGCTGCTGGCAGCGAAGCAAATCTCCAGTCCTGCCGCTGCTGGCTGACAGAAGGTTGTGCATTATTCCTCCGTCTTCCGACTAGACCCCTCCTGTAGCCCAGGGATGATGCTATGCACAAGGGCCTTGAATTCGCCATGCCATCAAGACGATGCAGGGATACCAAGTGAGTGGTCGCCACAGATCACAAATCGCAGGAACAAACATAGCCTGTAATTTGCCCACCTCGTCCTCCTCTTCGGCGGCTAGGCGGGAGCTCGCGTGCAAAAGGCGAAGCTCCTGTCCGCCACAAAGGTTCAACAACAGGGTCGCCTGCAGCTGGAGCTAGAGTCTCTGCACACCATGGAAAACGTGTTCACTCTGACATAGTGACTCTGCCTCAATCAAAGCTTTAGGCCAGCTCCGCCCAAGTAGAATCTCTGGCAATGCCCGCCGATCCTGTTTGGCGCCCCTCGTAGAGGTGGACTCCTCCAAGGCTGCGCCGTAGCAGTTATGCCATGTGTTGCTATGCATCAACTGCGACTTCCGAGAAGTAAGCTGCGTTTGCCAAGATTCCCTTCACATGCTTACGCTACCTTGAAGGAGCATGGTCTCTTTGATAAGAAGCAGCGAGATCCTGCGGGTGGAGGTACGTCATTTTGAGCTCTTGCTCCAACATCTCCAACCGGTCTTCGGCATTCTGCACCTGAGCAGACTTATCCCATGCGTAAGTACGAGTCATGCATGTGCATGATAATGATACGGCATGTCCGACGACATGATGGTGGCCGGAGAACAGGCAGTCTGGGTTCCCGCGCAAGCTTCCCCAAGCTTTCTCTCCTCGGGTCGTGCAGCTGCCCGTCTTCTTCTTGCTCGCCTCGCTGTGGCCGACAAGCTTCTGCGGGCGCATAGCCTCGGATCAAGGAGGTTGCGTAACTGCGAAACGATCCAAAGAAAGATGACTGGGTCCGCCACACGTATGGTGCTGTTGAGGGCGCTTCTCTGGTAGAGCATCCAGCCGGCTGACCGCATCTCCTAGGAGCTCCGAGGTTCGATGACAGCATGGGCCCTTCGACGGGATAAAGTCTGCCGAGCTTCCGAGGAGATGCTCCAAGACTCCGTCCGTCAGCAAGTCAACCTGCATCTTCAGAACACACAGGCTGAACATCTCCGCACGGCACGGCCCGTCCTTGCGAACAACCTCCGCAGCGTTTTGCCTAGGCGAGAAGAGGAAGGAGAGAGAAACTGAAAGAGAGAGAACCCGAATGAACAAAACGATGCATGAATCGAACGAGGCACCGGAGAAGTTGACTGGGCTCCGTGGCTGGCCGCCTCTCTGGCGAGTCGCAGTGCTGGGGTGCAGGTGGCCCAAGCAGCGCCGACAGCTTCTGGGACAAGCTCTGCACTTTGGCAGGGATCGGGGCATCTACCAACTTGATGCCTTGTTGCCGACGAACGATCTCAAGCTGAGTATCCTGAGTCTGCAGAATCTCCCGTTCCCGATGTTCCGGCCGTTCCGGCTGCAAAGGTGGCCGCGTGGCCGGAACAGGGGGAACGATCAGAAGTGATCCAGTGCCGCTCTCGGATCGTCCATCCGGCAAGAGGATGGCCAACTTCTCACCGAGACTGGCCATAGCACGTCTTCTCTGCATGTGCGTGACCCGAAGCTGCTCTGGCATTGTGGAGACCATGGCCGTCTGAAAGGGTTTCGGCCAGGTTAAAGGCTCCGAAACCCCTGAGGGGACACTGCCAAAAACACTCTTGGCAGCAAGCCCTGAGAGGAGCTCAGGTTGCTTGGCCTCTTCCATCCCTTCCGTCCCAGTAAGCTCCGCGGGCTTCGGAGGCTTTGGTGGCTGAGGGACCTGGGGGATCTGAACACGACGGCGCAGCTGCCCCGGCTTGTGGTGGGGAGCTGGCGGCACGGCCCGAGCTTGTGGGGCTCTTCGAGGCCGCGGTCCGGTGATGACGCTCTCGACAGCCGCACGGCTGTAGGGCTGGAAGATGTGCCTCCGCAAGCGGCTGTCAAATAAGCTCGGAGCGCGGGTATCCTCGTCCCATCCTGGCCGTGGACTCGGCGGACTCGGCCTGCTTTGGCTTTGGCTTCTTGCATCGGCGCTTCCGCGGCCCTGCAGCTGCCGGGGCGCTGCCCCACGTGGCCTGGCAGAAGCCGAACCACGACGGCGGCCACGGCCCTCCCCCTTGAAGCTGCCCTTCGGCATCACTAACAAGGCTCGAGCCACAGAGGCTGCATGGCACGATCTCTGCCACTTCCAAAGTGGGCTTCGTATTTCCTCGTGACCTACAGTATCTGTGAATGAAGATTTGCATCTATCCTTTCCGCGTCCCGACTGACGGCACGTTTGATTGACAAGAGCTCAAGGAGGACTCTGCTGCAGCCCGGCCACTGCAGGTGCCGAACGGCTACAGAAAGTTGCAGTCGCAGATCCCTGAGTGATCAATCTTACCGAATAAGGGTCAAGCTGGCCATTGAACTTGTAGCTCTGCTTTTAAAGCCACATGCACTAATTCGAATGCCTGGACATGCCTGAAGAAGACAACTTTTCGACGCGTTCCTGCAGACCCTGTGTGCGGCTGCTGTCTGGTTCGGAAGTAAAGTCGTTGCTCCCGTCAGCGCAGGGTCTGCAACCAGCTCACCTTCATGGAAGGCTCACCGTTGGGCACCGGCACAGCGCCTGCGTGCCGATAATCCGAAGAGATTTGCTGTATCTCGAAACGATACAGTACATGCTGATCGTCTTGAACCCACTCGTCGCCGACTGTCCGCGGGCCGCCATGAGGCAAACAACAAGGTAAGATTGACAAGTTCGTGGGGAGGGATTCGTGGACTCGCGGGTGATATGCTTGAGATTGCTTGACTGTGCCCAAGGGCCACGCAGGTGAACTTGATGATGGAGTCTTCGTGCGGCTTTGACACGATCCAGCCATGTGCAGTCGGAATGTCTCTCAATGTCTCAGGCGTGACCCCAGGCTGTGATGTTGCTGAAAGAAGCTTCGCAATGTTGCAGACTACGCTGCAGCAGAACAGGCTTCCCGCCCAAGTACGTCAGCAGTCACCAGAGATGCGGAGGCCCGTTCGTGTCAGGTCATCAGGTTCCATCATAGTCGAACCTGCATGAAGGGGTGACAAGATGCGATGGTCGCTCCAGGCGCGAAACACGCCGCTTAACTTTCTTGCAGCGCTTTTGTGTGCGGCGTCTCTTAGCCCGGCCTGGTCGACACGAGCCCATGCGGCCTCAGGTCCAGAGCACCTCCGCACGCCGAGAGCAGCGCATCCCTGGCAGAAGGAGCAGCCGGATGTCTTTAGGGTCTACATATATATATATATATATGTATATATATATATATATATGTATATATATATATATATGTATATATATATATATGACACAGCTTCATGGAAATCATGGGAGAGGCACGACTGAGGACCCTGCCGTGCTCGCATCAGCGTGGAGAGCACCTTCTCCTGAGTATCGGAGTCGGACGCCGTGGCCTCGGGCGGATGGGGGAAGCAACGACTCTGAACCGCCTCCTTGGGACCCGCTCCGGGCTTTGGGGCCCGGGCCAGAGCCGTCTCAAGGCCTTCTCGTGAGCCGGCGAGCAGACAGCGGTTTTGAGGCGACTGCTTCGCGGGGACGAAGGCCACCTCTGTCGCCGCAGGGAAGAGGCTCCGCAGCAGGTTCAGTCCTGCAGCAGATCAGCAGCAAGCTCCGCCCACCCACGGCGATGATGTGACTCTAAGCGTTATACTTCTTCAGCCGAGCTTCGGGGCTCTTGTAGCGCATCCTCGAAGAGCTCGGCTGCTTTGACTTGCCTCTCGGTGATTCGATTGGCGTTTGCTCCGGCGGTGGTGCGCCAGGCGACGCAGCGGGTGCAGATGCCAAGGAAGGCCTCCAGCCTGGCTCCCTCCTCGCCGTTTGCGGAGCTCTCGCTTCTTCGGCCTGTGATCCGGGATAAGTAGGGATCCTCCGAGTGGATCTCGCGATAGATCCGCGCATCCTCCGCACCGATTTTGTGGCCGCAGCACGTTGCAATCACTGCTCCCAGGACCTCTGCGTGGTGTGCTTCCGATGTCAGGCCATCGCGACGCCACCGCCGAAGTAACTTCAGAGCCAGGTCGGTTCCCACACCACAGAGATGCTTGGCGATCACGACCACTCTGCCAAGGCCATGCTTGGCCAGTAAAGGCTCAAGAGCCTCCTGTGCATCCAGATCCCCCACATCCCCGGTCACGCGGAGGATCCGCTGCTGGTAGGCTGCCGGGAGCCGGCCCTCGACGCGAAGCGGCTCCGGAGGCAGCGTGTGATCCACGAGCACGGCGTGGCCCCCCAGCAGCAGCGCTGCCAGCAAAGCCAAGCTCCCATTCCCGGCGCCGATGTCCACCACAGCTATGTCCTTTCCTTCGTCTCCCGTAGGAGATCCCGCGAGTGCCCACACTTTCGTCAAGATGGACCACTCCTGGCCGAGGTACTTTTCCTGGTACTTCGGCGGACGGTCGATCATTGCAGACAGGATGGCAAGGCCCTCGGGCGGCGCGAAGACTTCCGGGAGTGCCCCGTAAGGGCACTCCGTGCGCAGGACTGCCGCCGCTTCTTCCAACATGGCTTCGACCTCCCCTGCCTCGGGTGCCTGCTTGCGGCCCTTGGGCTTCTTGGGCACCGGCAGCTCGGATCCTTTGGCATCTTCCTTGGAGGATCATGGGGCTTAGTCACTAGGGTTATAAATAAGGTAACTATCATTATAACCCCAATTAGGGTACTTATAACCTTACTAACTAAGTCCCATGATCCTCGAAGTCGGCTTCCGGCTCCAGAAAGGCAAAGACGCTGTAGCCCCCTTTCTTTCCAAGAGCTGGCCTCTCCCACAAAGAGAATGACATCACCCAGATGGTATCTGGCCCCTATCCGATATCGTAGCCCTTATAGAACCCTTTAAGGAAACCTTTAAAGGAACCCCGAAACCCTATATCCTACGTTGTCTTTGCTATGACTGTGATACCGATGTGACAGTGGCGGTTACGTTAACGGTTACGCCCCTGTCCTACAAGAGCAGCCCAAACTGTGCAGAACAGACCATGCAACCACAAAATTCTCAAAACCTAAACCCTGAAACCCCTAAAGCACCCCTTGTACCACCCTTGACACTAAACTTCCAGTACATCTCACGGGACCCTTACAGTACCCTTGTTTGTATCCCTTTGGTACCCATGTACTGCCCTCCATTGGTCCATGCCCTGGTTCTACCCCCCCCAAACCCTAAACCCTAAACCCCTAAAAGCCTAAACCCCTAAACCCTAAACCCTAAACTTTAGGGTTCAGGGCTGAGGGTTTAGGGGTTTAGGCTTTTAGGGGTTTAGGGTTTTTAGAACCCTAAACCAAAGAATGCCCCTGTTCTACTCCTACTGGCCTGGCGCCGCCCAGGCCCAATCCTGGAAGAGCTGCCGGCAAGGCCTCTTGCGGAGGAATATATGGGGAAACATAGGCAAAATTGGGGTTTCTAGGGGTTTTTAGGGGTTTAGGGTTTAGGGCTCGAGGGGTTTAGGGGTTTAGGGGTTTTTAGGGCTTAGGGTTTAGTTTAGGGTTTAAATTTACGGTCTGGGGAGATGAGTTTTACGTAGGGTGTTGGTGCTCATAATTATAGGGTTTGGGATGCTTCTGGGCTTCAGGGTTCGGGGTTTAAGATCTTGAGGGTTCAGGGTTGAGCAGTCTCTTGGGGATGGGAATCGCATCATTGAGCAAGCGGCAGGAATTTGCATCTCGGGATTCTCGCATTTGCTGACAGAACCTACTGACTATACAGAAGCAGTTTAGTTTGACAGTGAACATGAATCTACAACGAATCCCACGACATGAACACAAGCACGGCCCTGGAATATGAGCAACATTCATGCTGAGTAGGAGCCGTGATCATCATCTAACTTCTCTCATGGTAATATCTCTTTATACACATATATACATATACACATGTTCATATCCGTATATATATATATACATGTAATTAAATACGCTGCACACCCACAGTGAATTTAGACTGATATTCGAGCAGACAGCAAGCTTGCTCATCTGATCGTGGGGTTTCGACACGTCAGAGCAGGGCCTGGAGGACCTGGAAGACGGCTCTGAGCTCTCGGGTGCCTGCCCGATCATGGGCGGAGCCTGGTGCCGGAGACAGTTTGGAGCATGCGGTTCAAGCTCTTTTTGTTTGAAGGGCCCTCTCCGTCTGCCCGATAAAAAAAGAGGTTCAAGCTTTAGGGTGCAGGGTTGGAGATTAGGGTGTCTTGGACCCTTGACACCCCTTGACCCCGAACCTCAAACCTGATCTCAAACCTGATCCAAATCGTCATGAATCCCCTGCACCGACTATCCCACTTGCGACACAAAAGCACTAGTCGATGCTATTCTGCTGTTGTAAGATGTTGTGGCCACTCCATCATGGGATTGCGACGGGCGGCGGATGCTCGCCCGCTCTGCACGCCGCTGTTTCCGCCGCGAGGCCACGGAAGGCTTGGCCTTACCCCAGGAAACTCATGACGAGGGTTCATGCGGAGTGCAGGGGTTCGGGTTCGAGGAACTAGGGCTTCGGCTGGTGGGTCCCCAGTTTAGCTCGTTCAGGACGGCCGTTTGCGTATCTCCCAATCGAATCCCGGAGCCACGCCACTCGAATCCTGGAGGGGCACTCCTTCGATTCCGCACTCTAAACCTACCAAATACCTTGAGCTCGGAACTTCACCACCTACGTACATTGTAACATGTGCCTTGCAGTTCCGTTCCAAAAAAAAGGTCACCTCATA